TATTCTATTCTATTCTATTCTATTCTATTCTATTCTATTCTATTCTAATTATTAATGTAGGGGTTTGAGACCCGCACTCCAAACAATGGGATAAGCTCCTGTTCCTGCCTTAGCTCCTGCCCAACTAAGCAGTCTGAAAACATGCAAATGCAAGTAGATAAATAGGTACCATTTTCGTGGGAAGGTAATGGTATTCTGTGTGTCTCGGCATGTACTCATGCCGGCCACATGATCACAGAAATTGTTTTTGGACAACACTGGGTCCCTCACCCAAGAAACAGAGATGAGCACTGTGACCTAGAGCTCAACACAACTGACAGTGAAATCTTCACCTTTTTTTAAAAAAAATGTAAACTATAGTTGTCATCCTGACAGATTTTTTAGCTTGGAAGGAGTGTCCATCTGCAGACTGGGATCAAAAGTTTGTGTGCTCTTGGTTGCAATCTTCAGTCTTTCAGGGCTTGGATCATGATGCACAACATCTTGCAGATTTTGTCTTCTCATGAAGAAACCATTGAGAAAGATTACTTTATTAGAAGGAGGGATTAAAAAGGATTGATGAAAAATGCTTTGGAAAAAGCATCACACTCTACTCCTTGAGAGTTTCCCGTCGTTGTCAGCTCACAGATCATTGAAAAGTTTCTTCTCTTGCCTTCTGGTACTTTGGTAAATAGGCTGGCCTGCCGCATCTCTATGACAGCCTCTCAAATGTTGGACCACTGCTATCATATCTTCCCTAGTCCTTCCTTTCACTAGACTAGACATTAGAATAATATCTAGGAATGGAATAATCTGTAAACATTGTAAAAGGCAAAGATACACCATGGATACCAGAACTCTGTTTTCAGCTCCTCATTCTCCCACCCCCCAAAGTAAACAATAGTGCTCTACAAAGAATACTGAACATCGGGATTAACCATGTCTTACGTTTTGAGTGTCAGGGCGATTGTCCTAATTAAATCATGAGCCTCAAGCTAAGCTTCGATAAAATTCAAAAGATTTATTAAGAGCAACATGCTGGCATTAACCTAAATGAAGCCAACTCTGGCATACATAATTTACAGTCACCTGTGACCCTGTTTCCCCCCTCCCCGCCGGGTGTATCATAAATCAGATTCTCCAAAGAAGCACAGTCATCAATCATGTTATCCAATAAAGGATTTTCGGGGCAGAAGATCTGGTAGCCTAGCTACAATCTTTGTAGATAAGGGTGGAATGTACTTCTGATTTTAAACTGCCATAATGCTCCTTCAGATTTCCCCCCTGCTCATTTATGGCAACTCAAAACAGGCATAGGAATGTTTTATGAGTTGACACTGAGGTAAAAAAAGAATGTCTTACCTGGTCAATGACCCAAGGGCTGTAGAAATGCCCGTTCTCAGATGGCTGCCACCAGCGGAGACGCGTAGAGGGCGAACGAGCTTTTAAAGGGATTTCCAAGGCGATGTACCGTCCAATATTGCTCAAATTGCTGAAGAGAAATTCCTCAAGTAGATTCCATCGGAGTCCACCATTAAGGGAATATTGTAACAACACTGGCTGACTCCTGGGATCAGGTACTGCTTTGCCACATCCCAGCCTCATGAAGAACTGCACAAATCTGCATTAAGCATGAAAGAACCCAAAATCAGAAGAAATATATTATTACTTTTGGTTGTGGACGGCACAAGTCATTCCTTTTGCCACAATGAATTACACAATATCATTATGCTATTCTGGGTATATATCGATGTGGCTTAAGCCTTTGCCCCATTTTTAAAAAATTATAGTACTTGCTTTTACTCTTTATTTTGTACTCTTTATTTCATTTATCCATCAGAGTGGCATCAAAAGAATTTTTTTTAAAAAAGCTATTTTCCCTCCAGGCATTAGCATAGAATCAATAAATAGACAGATTTACTTATTGAGCGCATATCACAGTAAATTTGAATCTGTACTGAAATTTCACGATTTTAGCCCAGAAACTTGGCAGCATATAAAAGACAAAGCATAAAATACACAGCCATGAGCTACATTCATTTGTTTATTAATAGACATATAATCCTCCAGTTTTCCAGAAGATGGAAATGCAGTTCCATAAAACCCAGAATGATGGGTAACAGTTCCAAGAAAGGATTTGTGGAATTATTCTGGCCTAAAATCAGAAAACAGTAATACTGCTTCACGGAGTGGATACAATGAAGGACCAATTGCAGAGATCAAAGACATTACAAAGAATAATATTCAACATATAACTAACATTTATTTCACATCCGTAATAAAACATCATTACATTCAAAATGTAAATATGGCGCTGGCATTTCTTCTTATTTTCTTTTCATTATATTTGAGTTAGAGTTGGTCCCTACATAAAATACAAAGTGATAACTTTCAACAAGGATTTGTTTATCTGAGTCCACCGGAGAAAGAAAAATTAGGCATTTTTCTATGCCAGAAGAACAGAAAATTTATATTTTCCTTCACAGAAGGAATTCAAATGCCACAGCCCTCTTGCGTTAAGCGGATAATTTGCCACAAAGATGAGATGTGGTATTTTTCCAGTGGTTTCATTTTATTGAGTCAGCTTACTGGCTATTTGGAAAATGCAATACATATAAATTAAGCCCTGTAGCAGAGAATAAAAATACGCAGAAGGAGAAATAGTGTTAAACTTTATGTTAATAAAAGAAGTCCAGAACAAGAAAAGGCCGTATTAAAATGCAATTTCTACAGAATTTTAAATCAATTTTTCATCACAAGATACCGAGGGTTAATATATGTCTGAAGAAAATAGGATTTTGTTTTTAAAATGCTTAAAGTCCGAGGAGGATAATTTCAAGCCCACCCTGTAATTTGTAAACAGGAGTTTTAATTTTAAACTAGTTTACATATTTTTTTGTTCTTTTTAAACACAACCTCACTCATCAAAGAATTTCTAATCAGGTGCAAAAGACGCTAGAATTTAACAGTTGCTATTTTAAATAGCTCAACACCAGCTTGCTCAGAATCTGGCAGCTACCAACTGTAAATAAATGTTGGCAGTTCAAAGCTAGCTTGCAAATATTTTGGAACTCCAGATGAAGCATCCAAAAGACATCTTGGCAATATACACCAGGTTTAAATCACGGTTCACTGTCGACCAGCACATTACTGAGCAGTTAGTATGTAAGAGAGATCAATCTGTTAAGATTAAAAAATTATTTATACTACAGGAGATGTCAGTCTCCCCGTTAGTGTGGAATTGGAATCGCACACAGCCAACTCGGGTAAAGATTTATAGAACCTGCTTGGTTTGTAGAAAAACACAAAATATTTCACAGGAAACTCTCTTCTCCCCCCCCACAAATAAATCTAAATACAGCCCTTGATTTATGACCAAAATTAAATTTCTGTTACTAAGCGAGACAGCTGTTAAGTGAGTTTTGTCCCATTTTATGACTTTATTTGCTACAGCTGTTATGTGAATCAAGGTGGTTGTTAAATTAGTAACCCAGTTGTAAAATGAATCTGGCTTCCCTATTGCCCGTCATGCCCCTGTCAGAGTCTGAATCAGAGGAGGAAGCTGGACAGCTGACAGGGAGCAAGAGTGTGGCTCTGTTGGCTGTGGAGGAAACTGGGGAAGGGCAAAGTCCGGCTGGGCAGAGTAGGGAAGAGGTAGAACAAGGGAGAGGGAGTTCAGAGGAAGACCCAGGCCCACCCTCTCTTCATCCTAGGTCAGGCAGGGAGGAATGTCGAAGAGAGCAACATGAGTTGCATGGCTTATGGGGGAGGAAAGGGGCCCTGATTCCCTTCATTAGCCACAGCTGGGAAGACAGTTGATAAGAAAGGCAGGCTGTATGTGGCAGGCTGTTGGGAGCAAATGTGAGTTTATCTTGTGTTGTCATGACTTGTCTGTGTTCCTGGCATCTTCCCAACCGTGTGAGTTTTGCTGTGCCTTCAAATCTGAAATTCTTGCTCCTGCGCTGCCAAACTAATTACCTCAGTTTGGCTGGATTGGACTTAAAAGTTACAGTAGTTTGTGGTTGCCCTGTTTTGGACTTAATTTTCTGCAGTCAAAGGCTGTTCCTGGGAGAGTTTTTCTCTAGCCAGAAGGTAATCAGGACACTGGGGGCAAAGTTGGAGATAATAAAGGGACTCTTATTGCTTATCCGACTGTGTTGCCTTTGTGCCACGCCCTAGGTCATAACATTGCCTTTGCTGGTCAGAAGGTTGCAAAAGGGCATCACGTGACCTTGGGACACCGCAACCGTCATAAATACAAGCCAGTTTCCAAGACTTTGAATTATGATCATGGTATTGTGGGATGCTACAACAGTTTTAAGTGTAAAAAAAACAGTCCCAAGTCACTTTTTTCAGTGCCGTTGTAATTTTGAATGGTCAGTAAATGAATCATTGTAAATTGAGGACTACCTGTATGTTCTGTCACCCAACAGGTGATGTGACTAAAATAGAATGATAAATAAACTTTCGAGTGACAATCCTTTAATTTCTTCAGGGAAGGCTGCCTTACTCTTTCTCATGATAGGATCACATGGGAAAATGGTTCAAATTTATCAGTGGGTGGAATATTACTGGAAAATATTGAGATACTACAGTGTGGTTTATTTGGTTTTAACCTTAATGCATTAAGCCAATCCAGCTATTTATAAACCACAGCTTAGAGCTTAATGTTATATATGAACCTGGGCACTTTGGCTTATTCTGAAAAATAATTAAAGCAAACCATGGTTTAATGAAATATATAGTATCTTTGGAGGGCCAAGTTGATCTAGTAGTTAAGGCACCAGGCTAGAAGCCAGGAGAATGTGAGTTCTAATTCTACCCTAGCCTTGAAAGCCAGTTGGGTGACTTTGGGCCAACCAGGAGATTGTGAGTTTTAGTCCTGCCTTAGGTGTGAAAGCCGGCTGAGAGACCTTGGGCCAATCACTAGGAGACTGTGAGTTCTAGGTGTGAAAACCAGCTGGGTGATCTTGGGCCAGTCACTTTCTCTCAGCCTAACTCATATTACAGGGTTGTTATTGTGGGGAAAATAGGAGGAAGGACTAGTAGATATTTTCGCCGCTTTGAGGGTTTTTTAATAGCGGGATATAAATAAAATAAAATAAATAAATTACACATCTGGTTGAAAGGTATCAAATGACCAAACAACATTGCTGTGAGGCGACACATATATGGAAGAGATGGAACTTGCATACTAGTGTCGTTTTGTTTCCTTCTCCTGGCCTCCTGAGACCCTCTGAGGAAACCTCCAGCTTATACTGCTTATATTGCATACAAAATTGTACCTTTACCTGTAAATAACCTTTTTTTTAGCTTTAATCGTAAGATAAAGCGTGCAAACATCCACTTTAAACTTTACGTAAACCATTTCTAAGTTTGATTGTACAAAACTCAATTTTTGTACCAAAATTGTCCAAGTCTGGACTATCTTACTTGAGTCAGTTGTATTTGTTTGTACAAATTTGTAATTTTTGTTTGAGGAATAAAACAAAAATCAGATAAATAAGACATTGAGCAAAATTAGGTAGTGTTAGACCAATTACATTCCAGTGTATTTTGACCTCAGTTTGTGCTGTTCATAGTTACATTATCATGTTATTGTATTCATATTTTGTTTGTACAAATTTGTAATTTTTGTTTGAGAAATCAAACAAATAGATAAATGACATTGAGCAAAACTAGGCTGGGTTACATCAATGAAATTCCAGTGTATTTTGACCTTGGTTTGTGCTGTTCACAGTTATATTCTCACCCTGCTGAAGAACATCTGGAATTCAGAGAAGTCTGGGAAATTTAGCCCTGGGTTCAACCACTTCCAGAATGTAGGCCCTAGAGAAAGGAGTCAACAAAATTGTATTTGATCTATTTGTGAATGGGAGTTACCTAGCTTGGGATAAATCCAGATCTTGAGTCATCAACATTCGCAATCCTTCCTCATTAAAGAAGAGGTTATTTCCTCCTGACAGGATTCCACATTTCCTGGATGGTTTTCCGCCACTCACCAGTAAGAACCTGTCTGATTCCAGTTGACCTGAATGCAAACAGAGATTGACACTGCTTTAGGACTGACCCAGAAGCATTTCTGCTAGTAATTGAAAATTGCATGGAACTTTTCTGTGTAAACGAAGAAATGCTTAGTCAAGGATTGATCCAATTTCCTATAAACTTGGATCTTGTCCAGTGGATTAAATTTAGCTGGTTTGCATTAATGTTTATTTAATATTTACAAACCGATGATTAAAAATGGAAATTGCTTTCTCAAACACAACTTGTTGTGGTTCACCAGCAGCCTGTGCAGACGGTAGCGGAATTGGACTGTGGGGATGAATGGAGACCAGTCCGGGAGTCTGGGGAGGACTCAGATGAGGGTCCTGCATCCGATGCAGGGATGGGGCCAGGACCATCTAGGAATGGGATGCTGATTCCGGAGCCTCCGGACTCTGGCAGCACCGAAGTGGAGGAACAAGAGGAGCCTGTTCCCAGTGCGCATGTGCGCAGAGCTGCTAGAAGGCGAGAGCAGCTGAAACAAAAGGGGTGACTCAGGAGTAAGGCTTAGAGGTGATTGCCTCTCCCATAAGGTATAGAGGAAGTGCAAATATAGAGGAAATCTTTGCAGGAAGCACAGTCGTTTGCTCCTTGAAGATCTCTGTGGACTTTGTACTTTGGTTGGTTTTTTTTAATTCATTTGGCACTCTAGCTGTTGGCAGCAATTCAAAGGAAAGAAAGGTGGGTGCTTATCTCGAGGGACTGTTTGGGACTCATTACCAGCTGGGAATGAACATAATTCCCAGCATTGAAATAAAACAAGATTTATTTTAACTGTGTGCTTAATTATGGTCTCGGGAAGTCAGAACACAACTGAATAAAGATGAGATCTTCATGAAAACAGTGGGACTAATGTGTCTATAAAGGAAGGAACATTTAGCCTGAACCAATGAGCTCCTCTTGATGGTTTGGCACCAGGACATTTTTTTTCACAAAACCTAAGTACGCTCACCATACTTTCAGAGTGCAGTGGCTCACTAGATTAGAACACTAGGCTGACAATCGGAATGCTTGTGTTTGAGTCCTGTTGCTGCCGTGGGATGGGGTGAACTCCCGTCACACACTCTAGTTCCTGCTGACCCAGCAGTTGAAAAACAGGCAACCACAAGTAGATAAATGTGTACCACTTCAGTGGGCACTTTCATAGGGACATAAAAGCAGGGGTGGGATTCAAAAATCCCAGCATCCAGTTTGCTGCTGAGTGGGTGTGGCCATGGTGGATGTGGCCTACTGGAACTTCCGGGAGGGTCATTTTTTGCCTTCCCCAGGGAGCGAGGCTTTCCTTGGGCCTCTGGGAAGGTGAAAACAGCCTCCACCTGGGTCTGGAGGCACTCCAGAAGCCAGAAACAGGCCCGTTTCCAGACTTCCAGAAGGCCCAGTTTTCCCCCTCCCAGAGCTTCCACACAGACCCTACACTTACCTGCCTCCAAAATAGGCTGTGTGTGGAAACTTCTGGGCGGGGTAGGGTGGGGTGGGCAGGGCCAGCCAGTTGGTTCAACTACCAGTTTGGTGAACCAGATGTAAATTTAACATCCAGTTCACCCAAACTGATCTGAACTGGCTGAATTCTACCCCTGTATAAAAGGTGCCCCTAACTGGGCATCAACCCCAGGCAGCGATGATGTCACCGGCAAACCCTTTCACCGTGGAAGCACTTTGGTCTTAGTACTATACCTTCAAAATCATCCTTGAGAAAATCAGGGTTCTTGGTGGTTATTCTACAGGTGGGTCCGGAATATCCTGGGTCACAGATGCACTTGCTCCCATTGATACAACTGCCATGTCCACTGCACATCTCCTCACACTGTGGCCCTATGTATACGTTGTCAATGGCCCAGGTCACAGGTTGAGTCCCAGCAGGATAGAATCCTTGGTACCATCTGAATCTCACCAAGCTGAAACAGACAGTTGCACTCACTCTTATTATCTTGCGTTATATCAAGGGTCTTCAAACTTGGCAAGTTTAAGACTTGTGGACTTCAACTCCCAGAATTCCTGAGCTAACATGACTGGAGGAGGGATTCTGGGAGTTGAAGTCCACAAGTCTTAAATTTGCCAAGTTTGAAGACACTTGACATAGAACATAGAATAAAGGGTTGGAAGGAATCATGGAGGGCTTCTGGTCCAATGATTTTAAAAAAATATGCAAGCAATTATGAAAAAAAGGAACGGAATAAAAGTACGTATCCAAAAATTTAAAACAGATTTATGCGCGTCCGTGTCTATTGGTGTTAAGCGCCATGCAAATCGTCGCTTTAACACGAGGGTCTTCAAACTTGGCAAGTTTAAGGCTTGTGGACTTCAACTCCCAGAATTCCTAACATGACTGGAGGAGGAATTCTGGGAGTTAAGTCCACAAGTCTTAAAGCTATCAAGTTTGAAAGACTCCTGCATTATAGGATGCGCTTTGAGGATCATTCCACAGGTAGCAGCAATGCTAGCAGAATCATAAGCAAAAGCTTTTTATACTTTTAGCACCAAGAAAAGAAATGGAAATAAAAACATTTGTCTGGAATGTTATAGGGTCTTGCCAGAGGCAGGAGCCTGGACTAGACGATCTACAAGTTCTTAGACTTAGAATATCTTTATTGCCACTTTGAATGTACACTTATCGGCATCCAATAAAATGAAAATACATAATATTTGTCTGTCAACCTTATTATTGTATGTTCTATTACTAACTTCTGGAAAGTCCCTGGGCAGAAAAACAAGGACAATAGCTGAGCTGGTGTTGGCTTAACATTTTTTTTATACAAGTGTTTTTGCAAGTTTCGGGAAAAGCATGATTCTACTTGTTTCTACTGTTGAACATTCTTGTCCCAAGTGTGTGTGTGTGTGTGTGTTTGTGTGCGTGTGAGGGGGTTGTGGTAGGTCAGGGGGCAAGAAAATAAACTGTCCTACATTGACATTGAAAATTGGGGGTGGGGGGAAGAAAAATAAAAACAACAGTCAAATAATGGGGAGTGTGCTTGTGTGACTTTGGCACACAACTCTGGTGGACATTTGGCTGTCCTCTTTGATTGACAGGCTGGAAAATTAAGAGAAAAGGTTTGAGAATGCGACTTGGAACAGCAGGGAGGCTAAACATTCTGGGATTAAAGATGATAAAAAAATGCATGTTCACATTTAAAAATCAAATATTTTGTTTAATTATTAAACAACGGGCGGGGAGGTGGAGGTTTTCTTGAGCTTTGCTCCAGTTTAAGATCTGCTGTATTTTTATTTGTTTGTGTATTTTGCCCCTCGGCGGAAATGCTTCCTCTCACAAGGGATACATGCACGCCAATCGTTGGCGGAGATTCTCAACAATCCAGGTCATGGTGGTCCCATTTTTTCCAGAAGCAACTGGACTTTCTGGTGTTTCTTTTTCTTTGAAGATGTTTTGCTTCTCATCCAAGGAGCTTCTTCAGCTCTGACTGGATGGTGGGGAAATGGAAGGATTTATATTCCTTGAAGAAAAGCTGGTCATTTGCATTCTTTTTAGAGAGTCATTGAGGCTGCTTGGAGGTTTGTCTTTGTCCTCAGGGCCGCCTGAGTGGTGCGAATGAGTGTGGAGGCTTTTCGAAATTGCTGAAAGGACTGTGTTTGTGGAGCTGTGTTTTCTGAAGGGAATTTTCACCCTGTGTCCCTTGACTGTTGGACACAAGGCGGTTGGGGATGAGTCTGTGTTGTCTCCATTTCAAATTGAAGCACGATGTAGTAGTTGGCATTTTTTTTCTGGAAATCCATTCATACTCCCGCATCATTTGAGGGTGTTCATCCCAAAGTGCATAGCTATGTCTACATCCAGGTGTCATGCCCTTGTTGGAGTCTGATTCTGAGGGGGAGATTCAGCAGCTGACAGGGAGTGGGAGTGTGGCTCTGGTGGCTGTGGAAGAGATGGGGGAAGGGCACAGCCCAGCTGGGCAGAGGAAGACCCAGGGCCACCCCCTCTTCATCCAAGGGCACGCAGGGAGGAACGGAGTAGGAGCAACGTGGCTTATGGGAGAGGAAAAGGCCATGATCCCTTTCATTAGGTGCAGCTGGGAGAACAGGATATAAGTGGGGTGTTTTACATAGCTCCTTGCTGGAAGCAAAGCGTGCATTATCTTTGTCAAGGCTTATCTGGGTTTTGGCAACCTCCCAACTGTGGTTGCTGTGTTATCTTGTGGAAGTCTGCAATTTATCATCCTGGCCTGCTGTGCTAATTACTTCAGTGTGGTTTGTGTTGTTTTTTATTTCTAATTATCTTTACTTGGGGTTCGGACTGCATTTACTCCCTTCGTAGACTGTTTTTGGAAAAGTTTGATATCCAGCTGAGGATAATTGGACATTGGGGCCCAAGTTGGAGGCATTAAAGGGAATTTATTCTACTTCTGTGACTTCGTTATTTTTGTGTCATGCCCAGGGTCATCATACAAGGTCTGCACTTGTGTTCAACAGTGAAGGGATCCAAGGCTGAAAAATATCCCACAGAAAGCACAATTCCACAACACAGTCCTTTCAGCAATTCCAAGAAGGCTCCACACCCATTTGCACTACTCAGGTGACCCTAAGGACACAGTTAAGTCATAAGTGGCCTCTACGACTCTCTAAAAAGGATGCAAATGACTGTCTGCAAGGGATATAAATCCTTCCATTCCCCACCATCCAGTCAGAGCTGAAGAAGCTTCTTGGATGAGAAGCGAAACGTCTTCAAAGAAAAACCAGAAAGTCCAGTTGCCTCTTGAAAAAAAACACCTTTGGGACAACCATGACCTGGATTGTTGAGCATCTCAAGCAATACGGGTAATCCTCAACTTAAAACAGTTCATTTAGTGACCATTCAAAGCTACAACATCACTGAAAAAGGTGACTTAGGACCATTTTCACTCTTACGACCATTGTAGCATCCCCTAGGATCCCATGATCAAAATTCAGATGCTTAGCAACTGATTCATATTTATGATGGATGCAGCATCCTGAGTTCACATGTTCCCCTTTTGTGACCTTGTGATAAGCCAAGTCAATGAGGGAAGCCAGATTCACTTAACAACCGTGTTGCTAACTTAACAACTGCAGGATTCACTTAGCAAGTGTGCCAAGAAAGGTTGTAAAATGAGGCAAAACTCACTTAACCAATGTCTCATTTGGCAACAGAAATGCTGTTTTGGTCATAAGCTGAGGACTCCCTGTATAATCACAAAAGAGTTGTATATTAGGGATCTCATGCCTGCTTCCCTGAACAATGTTCTCTTGAATCCCATTCCTGGCTGGCCCCTTCCCTCCCAGGTGCCCTCACGCGGCCTGTTTTGGATGCAGGTAAGTGCAGGGCACACAGGGAGGCTCAGGGAGGGTGAAAAATGGGCCTCCCGGGAATTTGGGAAGGCAAGAGATGGGCCCATTTTGGGCTTTCAGGGAGCCTCCAGAGCCTGGGGAGGCCATTTTCACCCTCCCGGAGGCTCATAGAAAGCCTCCAGAGCCTGGGGAAAGCAAAAACACCACCCACCACCATGGTGCAGGAATCCGACTACACCACACCCACTATGGACATGCCCACCCAGCAACCTGGCAGAGAACCCATTGCTAAAATTTGTGAAGCCCACCCCTACTTATGCTGTTGCAACTATTATCTCTTCTCAGCTTGCCAACAAACTAGGGAGGTGGGGGGAGAGGGAGATGGAATATAGGCTCCAGACATCAACAAGCTGTGAGAGTCAAGGACACTTCAGCAGGTGTTTGCCAAAACCAAAGACTTTTTCTCATAACAATACAATGTCATTCCGTTGGACAATGTAACCTGCACTAATAGGGGGAGGGAGAATTCTATACTTAGGTTTGCGTGGGAATTAGTCAGATCTGGCTTTGCCCTTGTGGTTGTCGAAATGATGTACTCAAGACAGTTTTGCATTCAGAGATTGGATCGTCTTGACCATGCTTGCTTTGGTTGGCTTGGTCAGTCGGAACGCTGACACCGATACAATCCGTTAACCTTGCTTACAGAATGAAGAAAAATAAGAGATAGAGATAGAGGACAGAAAACAATTTCTTACCCACAAAGATGTAGCTTTCCAAAATGGATGACTTCTCTTCTCCAGCCCTGGGTTGTTCCAGCGTAGTAGGTGCTACTTGGGTGATGCTCAACCGAGCAGAGAGAACTGAGATAGCTGCTGCTACTGTAGCATAGAGGAAGTAGTAGGTGCCATGTTGCACCCAAGTCTCGGGAGAATTCAAGTTTCACTGGGTCAGCAGAGGAGCTATCTGTGGTGCAGCCAATATTAATCTGAAATCAAACAAATCCTTCATGTTGAACTTAAAGATACTTTCTGTGTAGCACACTATTAAAACAAGAACACCCATAATCTTTCTGTAAGAATTCAGTGTGATTTGGGGAGGATCTCAGATGGAGACGTGGCCGCAATCCTTTCATTTATTTATTTATCGACAGAAGAAAATATTTGTAGCTCAGGGTTGAACTATGGGGTCCTTGGTTCTCTCTGAGTTTGGTTGCTTTCTTGCAGACGTTTCATTACCAAACTAGATAACAGCATCAGTGCACTAGTCAAACACATTTGGCCTAGGCCCACATGCTGTTCATAGACAAAATACTCCTTGTTACAACACATGGAACTAGGTTTTATGCAGTAGCACTGCCTTGTCAGTGGTTAGTTGTTCTCACTGGGAGGAAGTTTCTTCTTAGTTCTAGGTTGCTTCTCTCCTTGATTAGTTTCCAATCATTGTTTCTTGTCCTGCCTTCTGGTGCTTTGGAGAATAAGTTGACCCCCCCCTGTTCTTTGTGGCAGCCCCTCAAATATTGGAATACGGCTATCATATCACCCTTGGTCCTTCTTTTCACTAGAACGGCCATAACCAATTCCTGCGACCATTCTTCATATGTTTTTGTCTCTCGGTCCACAGTCATCTTAGTTAATTAATTAATTAATATAGAAGTACACATTGTTTTCCTATCTATAAATGCTATAAGCATAATATTAATTAATGTCTTTTAATAAAATGTGTTAATTGGGAAAGATTCTACAAAGACTCTGATTTTTTTTTTAACCACCATGGTCTAAAACAACTGTCTTCCTCCATAATACATGTGAGCTTCCTATTATTAGGTCTAATCAACTGCGGATTTAAAAACAAAAGGACATGATTTGGTTCATTAGCTTCAGAAATCTAGAGTGACAGCTCCTGCGCTATCTATACTAACACCTTGTTTATTAGCCCCTCTCTAACATTTTTAAAAAAAATAAAATGTCTTTCCTAGGTTTTATTTATTTATTTATTTGTCAAGCAAGTATTAGATAACAGGTTTAAGTATAAACATGGTTATGAATACATGAAATGGATACAAATAAGAAAAATAAAAGAAACAATAGGACAGGGACGGTAGGCATGTTGGTGCACTTATGCACACCCCTACAGACCTCTTAGGAAAGGGGGTGAGGTCAATAGTAGACAGTTTTAAGGTTAAAGTTTTTGGGGTATGGGGAAGAAACCACAGAATCAGGTAGAGTATTCCAGACATTGACCACTCTGTTGCTGAAGTCGTATTTCCTGCAATCAAGTTTGGTGTGGTTAACCTTGAGTTTGTATCTGTTGTATGCTCTTGTATTGTTATGGTTGAAGCGGAAGTATTCATTGACAGGTAGGACATTGTAATAGATAATTTTATATACTATACTTAGATCAGACCAAAGGTGACGTCGTTCTAGGTTGTCTAGGTTTAAAATTTCAAGTCTGGTGGCATAAGGTATTCTGCTTCGAGTAGAGGAGTGGAGAACTCTTCTCGTGAAATATTTTTGGACTTTCTCGACTGTATTAATATCCGGTATGTAATGCGGGTTCCAGACTGATGAAGTGTATTCAAGTATTGGTCTAGCAAATGGTTTGTATGCTCTCATTAGTAGTGTGATATAACCAGAGAAAAAGCCATGCAGGATTAGGTTAACAACTATTAATGCCTTTTTGGTTGTGTAGTTACAGTGGGCTCTAGCACTTAAATCATTAGAGATGAGTACTCCAAGGTCCTTGACATAGTTGAGGTCATCAACAAGGTCTTGACTATTCAGCTTGTATTTTATTTTCTGATTTTTTTTCCCAATATGTAAGACAGAGCATTTGTTTATTGAGATTTGAAGTTGCCATTTATTTGACCGTTCTGACACATAGTTGAAGTCATTTTGAAGGGTAGCAGTATTGTCAGTGGTGTTGAATAGCTTTACATCATCAGTGAAATGCCTAGATGTGAAGTATAACTCTTCTGGGGTAAATACACTGAAAATGTTTTCCTTCCTTTCCTGACTTCAAAAGCATTTGTTGAACATGTGTTTAATCTATATTTTAAAATATAAAACAGTTTGCATTCCATATATTATTAATTAGTTGTCGTGACAAATTGAAATGTGGATGAATAAACAGTCAGGGGAGGCTTTTGCTAAGAATACACAAGGTGAGGACCCAGCAGCCTCTTACAACTGCACAAGAATGTGCAGGGATTATTAATGTTTTGTATAAATGTGTTAGTGTACGCACAAATTTGTGTATTATGCTTCAGCTTTGATTTTAATTAAACCCTTGAATACAGCATATACTCTGAGGGCTGTATCGAGACACTGAGTACTTATTTCAATTTAGCATATGGATGTTGACATTTCTGTCTGCCTATCATCTGTTTATTATCACAACTTGCATCACCATGTTATAATCCTAAGATTCCCTTTTCTCGAGTTCTTTTCTTAACGTGGAGTCTCCTTGTTCCTCTCTAAGCTTGATTGTTTGCTTGCAGAAGTTTCATTACCCAGCTAGGTAACATCATCAGTGTCAGTGAATGTGGGGTTTTCTCCCTGTTTATATACATTATATAATACAGGTAGTCCACAACTTACAGCAGTTTGTTTAGTGACTGTTCAAAGTTATGACAGCACTGAAAAAATGTGATTTATGACCATTTTTCACAGTCACGACTTTTGTAGCTTCCCCATGATCATGTGATCAAAATTCAGATGCTTGGCAATTGGTTCAAATTTATGACGGACTCAGTATCCCGAGGGTCACACAATCTCCTTTTGCAACCTTCTGACAAGCAAAGTCAACGGGGAAGCCAGATTCATTTAACAACTGAGTGTTCTGACCAAGGCTTATGGAGACACTAGCAAACACATGTTAGTCCCAAAACCCTTTCTAACACACCATTTGCAACCTTCCCAGCTGGCTTCTGACACACCAAGTCAATGGGGAAAGCTGGATTTGCTTAATGACTGTTTGATTCATTTAATAATAGCAGTAAAAACTGTGACAAAAAATTCATAAAATCAAGTCGGACTTGCTGAACAATCGCCTTGCTTAGTAACTGGAAATTCTCGTTGTACATTGAGGACTATTATATGTCTGGTGGATAAAAGGACAATTTCATAGCAAGTGTAAATGTTTTATATACCTTGAGACAGAGAATTAAACAAGGACATACTATTCCTACTTGTAGCCTCCTGTCAATCTGACTGCATCTTCAATTTTGAGGCCAGTACTGAAAATTATATGATTTTACATCATAAAAAACCTTGAAAGATAATAATTGCATGTTTTTACATCGCAATAATTAAATGGTCTGCTGATCTTTATGGATTAGGCAGCTCTTAGAACATTATAAATCGTGCTAACACGATTCTTCAATATCCTTAAAAAAAATATGTTAACATACCCAGAGAAACGCTACAGCAAAGATTTAAAACACTTTTGTCAGCAAGAAGAAAAGAAAGCAGAGCTAAGTACCTCAAACTGGATTATGGTATTTTCGTTTACGTTCAAATCTCTCGTTGTAATTGAATGCTCTCCGACTTCATTTGAAACAAATACCATCGCAGAATCTTCTTCTCTGTTGCAGGAGCAAAAGTGATATATCTCACAATATGATTACTCACTTTAGTCAACACTTCTTTTCTGAAAGTTTGACAATTGTCTGGTTTGGTACAGCAACAGGGCAGATACAGACTTCAATAGATAGTTAGGACTGCAGAAAAAAAACAATTGCAAACAGCCTGCCTTCCACTGAGGACCTGTATACTGCATGGGTCAGAAGGAGGGCTGTGGAAATATCTACCGCTCCCTCACATCCTGCACATAAACTGTTTCTACTTCTCCCCTCGGGATGCTGCTACAGGGCATTGCAGGTCAAAACAACTGGGCACAAAGACAGTTTTTTCCTCTCGTGACATCACTCTGCTGAACACCAAATCCTCACTGTACTGACTTATGTCTAAGCATATTAACCCATGTAATATGGCGGTATTATTGTTGTTGTTGTTGTTGTTGTTGTTATTGTTGTTGTTGTTGCTATTATTATTATTATTATTATTATTATTATCCTTCTCATCTTTTTTACTACCTTCTATTATTGGCATCATTATTGTGATTATTATTACTCCATTGCTTTGCCTGTATGTTGAGACACAAATTCCTTGTGCATTTAATCGTACTTGGTCAAATAAAGACTATTCCAGTCCTGTCCTGTTCAATTGTGCTCTATCCTGTTCTGGTTGTTTGATTCGATTCGATTCTATATTTTCTATTCTGTCCTGTTCTTTCATTCCATTCCATTC